GGCGGCAGCTGGGATTTTCGCTCGTCGGAGCTCACTGAGCCCTGAAGCACCGAGGGTGGCAGGGGTATCAATAAGCCTCCGTGAGGGCACTGAGGAGGATTGGGCACCGTATACTGAGGTGTTATCCTTTCCTCCCCAGGTGGGCTGCCCTCAGGGACCTGACAATGGTAGGACCATTTAGCCGAGGTCCTCTTAGACAAATAACGGTCCGCAGATCCGTTTTCGGTCTAGAAGACCCCAACTGTTTTTGAGACTGGCGATATGAGGAGCTTGATGGCTTGGACTGCTCTTGCTCAGCAGCCCCACCCATGAGCAGGTCAGCCTGGTATGCTTGTAACACCGCCATGGTGTGCAAACATGCGCCAGCCTGACCTACCAGCTTTCCCGCTTTCCCAACCAGACTCGATGTAAGCCTAACGGGCCTGGTGGGAAGCTTCGGGGCCTTCAGGGACGATGGGGGAGAGATACAGTTTTTCCCACGATCTTGACACCTCAGCATGGAGATCGGGGAAAACGGAAGGCCCCCGTCGTGAAGGCTGTGATCTGGATTCAGAACATGCTCGTCTAATTATTATTAGGACGAGCGTCCTGTTTCTAGGCTGGCCAAACGATATTTTATTTTGGCGAATGCACGAAACACACCCCATAATCACAAATCACACCTCATACGCGAGGGACAGACAACAGTAAATAGACAGACACATACACAGAGCGCTACTGAAGAGCAGAAGCTGGTTTGTGCCCGGCCGGATGCACTTTTATGCTTTCTGGTGCTTACGTCACCCTGCTCATGACGTCTCGCTGCTCCATTGGACGGTTTTGACACGTGCTTCAGAACGCGGTCACGCAAGGGCGTTTCCAAAGCGACTCGACGCAGCTCTAGTTCCTGAAGGGGAACTTGGGTTAGCCATTTCAGAAGAATATCCATAAAAAAAACAGGTCAAACAAAATCCTTGTGAATAAAGACGACGAAAAAACAGTTAAAATAAAGTTACTGAACTAGCTACATTACAGGTCGTAGATGTTGGCATCAGCTTATCATTATTATTGTTTTACACATTAATCAGGGACAAAGAAAGACACTGACCATTTAGAATGAACCAACTAAAATAAAAATAAATAAAAAAAAATAAAAATAAAAAAAAGGAAATATATAACACATTTAGATTTGTTAACGATTGTGTTAAAAGCTATATCTTTAATGGCATTTAGAAAGAAAACTTACCTCTTTACTCTCTGCCATCATCCAATTCCAATTCTCCCTGGCTTTCTGTCTCGTCAGGAGAAGGCCAACAACAGCCAATCAACAGCCAGTCAGACGACGAGCAGCCAATCAATACAGGATTTGGCCAGCAGCCAATAGTATTTGTTAACACAACAAACATACGTTGGACCCCGCCCCCTGACTGTCAAAACTTCATGTGCGTGAAGGGTTCAACTCGCGCGTGTGTTTAGATCTGCGCTTGTGTCCTTGCAGCGTGCTGATGTGTGTACACAATCATATTTTTTGTGCTCGAGTTTGGAATTTTGCCATTTCTTTAGGTTTTCATTTTACGTGCGAGCTTTGTCACTGTGCGCACAGTACTGTAATTCGCTTGCGCGCTGTGTTCATGTGCTTGCGCTGTTTTGTCCCACTTTTGACGCCATAATAGTGGTGTATTAGAGGTAAAAAATTATATAAATACTGTTTGGTTTCTGGCACAAACCGATCGTTTCGTGTCTTAGGACATCAATGTGTCGTCACGAGCCGCAGGGTTTAACTTGGATTTGTCTGTACATGTTTTTTTTGCACTCATAGATTTTGTTACCATTGCCATGCATTATAAGACTGATAGACTGCAACGGTTGGATTTATAAATCATCAAATGTGTTCTACTGAAGAAACAAAGTCACCTACATCTTGGATGCCCTGGGGGTAAGCAGATAAACATCAAATTTTCATTTTTGGGTGAACTATCCCTTTAAATTGTTACTGCCTTGAGTAATTATTTTGGAATAAATGTAAAAGTAAAAATTTTTAATGGTCCCTTTTGAGCATTCTGTTGACAATAGGTAACTTTGCAAATACATGTCAACTTAATTTAACCCTACCACTCTACTAATACTCTACTAACAGTCTAGTGAGACTTAGTAGATATGTTGGTGCAACATTACTTATAGTCAACAGAATGTGTTAAAGGGACCATCAAAATAAAGTGAAACCATGTAAACTGCTTAAAAACACTAAACTGATGAGATTTATAATTGGTTTTAATAAACAGAATAGCTTATTAATTACATTGTTAATGTAAAAAATACAAAATAGATTAGTATTCTGGTAGGGTAAATAATGTTTATTTGACCAAGAAAATGTGACTGGGACATGAATTTACATTTAATAAAAAAAAATGTAAAAAAATGTGCGAACTTTGCCTACTCATTTCAGAACACCACTGCACGCCACTGAGATACTACAGATATGTACTATTTATTTATTCCATATTTTATATATCATGATAGTCACAATTAAACGCAAGTGGTGATAGATTCTTTCTTCTGCATTATGACATGCATCGGAGTGAAACAATTAAAAAGCAGGGCGGAGACTTGGTTTTGTCCATCAGACGATGATTGGATTAAGACTAAGTGATTGGATAATCCAACTAATATACAACTTATTACAATAAATTATGATTTAAAAAAAAAAGATGCGAGTCGATAAAAGACACATGCAAATACTAGCCTAATTGTTCACAATAAGAGCAATGATATGTATTTAGGAAATTAGAAGCTAACTGGATGCAGTTAATTTTGCCTGTAGTCCAGTAGATTGGTAATGAGATGACAACTGAAGTGTTGATATTTGACAGTAATACGTTAGCCGTTAGCAAAAAAATAATCATTATTTCACGCTATTGCTTGTACCCAATGTTGCCTAAGCCCACACTATGTTCACGCTTCATAAAAGTCAAGCTTAAAATGGCTTACTTGCCTACTTACTACTCTCTGCACATTAAACGTAAGTATTTAAACATAGGAAAAATGACACTCTTCAGCTTTAAACGCTCAGATTCCACCTCCATTCTTTCCACAACCCTCATCGTTAAGCACAGAATCACTGGCCACCTAACTTTCCCATACGCCACCTCTAGTGAGATACACAGGATGTGAACTCACCAAGAGCTCTCCAGCCTGTTTCCCATACAGTTACTGCTTCACTGGAGTCCAATTACAGTGTGTTTGTGTGTGTGCTGGCCTGTTGGGTATGTCAACAGCCCTGCTGCTCACTAATAGGCAGCCTTGAAGAGATTTGCCTGGCTCATTAAACAGTGTGTTTAGCTGAGTGAGGCATAAGAATGTTTGGAGAGCTGAACTTCAGGACAGGTTCATCACAAACCACTTAGTTTGACACTGAGGTTTTGCATTTGAAATCCATTACTCACAAAAGCAGTATTGTTTCCAGATTTTGCCACACAGAGCGCAAATTTTAATGTGTTATTGTAGGTATTACACACAAACTGTTCATAGTGCAGGAAATCCCCACACACTTGAATGTAGGTGTGATGTAATGTAAGGGTGTAGGTGAGAATTAAGTAATTCCCAAACATGAACTAATGAAATCAGTAATTCTGTCTTTCTGTCTAAATTCATATAAAAAGTATCATCTTTTTCACATTTACAGAACTTTTGCAATAGATGGACTGCCAATTGAAACCTAAATAAATGTGTTGTAAGTAAAGACTGTAAGTAAATAAAATAGTATTTTTACAGTAATAAAATTAGAGGTGACAGTTAAGAATGTCTCTGTTTGAGACAGACAAACACTTGTTAGTCTTTGTGTAGGTATTCACAAATATTAAAATTTTGCTCAATTTAGGCTTCACATATAATGTACTTAATGCACTTACAGTATTAAAATTTAAATTGCTTTGTTTAATAGTTTTAATATTAAAGAAACATGTAAAAGATCTTTAATATCGGTATGTTACTAATATGTATTGTGCATCTTTATCTTTGCGAATAAAGTCGCCACTCCATTGCTGCATCTCATTTCAAAGGCTGCATTGTATTTGTCGATCACATATGTAATTGAGATAATCTCATTTAAGAAAAGTAATCGATAGATTGCAAAGAAAGAAATGACAGTATTTTACACCTCACAATGAGCAACAGTCAGTTGTATTACGGTTAGTTTTCTTAAATAAGACATCCTTGATGATGCATGCAGCCTACAAATGTGACCTCCGGAGGACCCAGCCTCTAAAATGAGACGCAGCTCATATTTCAAAAGTTAGCGTGACCATCCCATGATAAAATGACTCTTTGTCTCTAAACAAGTTTTCCAAATGTAAGCTTGTTTATGAAACTCTTCCCTGATTAACGCACGTTTGCATGCTTGGAAAGTGTTTAGTTTGTGATCTGCAAGGGAAAATATGTCCGATTGTAGGGTGAGAAAAGCAGACCTTTAGTTGACCATCAATGCTCTGTGACTCATGCAGGCCACAGGTCCCTAAGGAGTGCAGACGGCCAGTAGAGGATCCAGAGATGCTAAGCACCGCTTGCTCACGTGAATGCAAGAATGGCCACTGTACACCAACCGGCAAGTGCTGCTGCAGTTCTGGCTGGGATGGCCCCTTCTGCTTAAGAGGTACAGAGCTAATCAGAGCACTTTATCTGTGTCAAAGTTGGTCAAATTTCCAACCTTTTTAACGGCTTCTATGTTTTCATGACGTCTCGCTGCTCCATTGGACGGTTTTGACACGTGCTTCAGAACGCGGTCACGCAAGGGCGTTTCCAAAGCGACTCGACGCAGCTCTAGTTCCTGAAGGGGAACTTGGGTTAGCCATTTCAGAAGAATATCCATAAAAAAAACAGGTCAAACAAAATCCTTGTGAATAAAGACGACGAAAAAACAGTTAAAATAAAGTTACTGAACTAGCTACATTACAGGTCGTAGATGTTGGCATCAGCTTATCATTATTATTGTTTTACACATTAATCAGGGACAAAGAAAGACACTGACCATTTAGAATGAACCAACTAAAATAAAAATAAATAATAAAAAATAAAAATAAAAAAAAGGAAATATATAACACATTTAGATTTGTTAACGATTGTGTTAAAAGCTATATCTTTAATGGCATTTAGAAAGAAAACTTACCTCTTTACTCTCTGCCATCATCCAATTCCAATTCTCCCTGGCTTTCTGTCTCGTCAGGAGAAGGCCAACAACAGCCAATCAACAGCCAGTCAGACGACGAGCAGCCAATCAATACAGGATTTGGCCAGCAGCCAATAGTATTTGTTAACACAACAAACATACGTTGGACCCCGCCCCCTGACTGTCAAAACTTCATGTGCGTGAAGGGTTCAACTCGCGCGTGTGTTTAGATCTGCGCTTGTGTCCTTGCAGCGTGCTGATGTGTGTACACAATCATATTTTTTGTGCTCGAGTTTGGAATTTTGCCATTTCTTTAGGTTTTCATTTTACGTGCGAGCTTTGTCACTGTGCGCACAGTACTGTAATTCGCTTGCGCGCTGTGTTCATGTGCTTGCGCTGTTTTGTCCCACTTTTGACGCCATAATAGTGGTGTATTAGAGGTAAAAAATTATATAAATACTGTTTGGTTTCTGGCACAAACCGATCGTTTCGTGTCTTAGGACATCAATGTGTCGTCACGAGCCGCAGGGTTTAACTTGGATTTGTCTGTACATGTTTTTTTTGCACTCATAGATTTTGTTACCATTGCCATGCATTATAAGACTGATAGACTGCAACGGTTGGATTTATAAATCATCAAATGTGTTCTACTGAAGAAACAAAGTCACCTACATCTTGGATGCCCTGGGGGTAAGCAGATACGCCCCCTGACTGTCAAAACTTCATGTGCGTGAAGGGTTCAACTCGCGCGTGTGTTTAGATCTGCGCTTGTGTCCTTGCAGCGTGCTGATGTGTGTACACAATCATATTTTTTGTGCTCGAGTTTGGAATTTTGCCATTTCTTTAGGTTTTCATTTTACGTGCGAGCTTTGTCACTGTGCGCACAGTACTGTAATTCGCTTGCGCGCTGTGTTCATGTGCTTGCGCTGTTTTGTCCCACTTTTGACGCCATAATAGTGGTGTATTAGAGGTAAAAAATTATATAAATACTGTTTGGTTTCTGGCACAAACCGATCGTTTCGTGTCTTAGGACATCAATGTGTCGTCACGAGCCGCAGGGTTTAACTTGGATTTGTCTGTACATGTTTTTTTTGCACTCATAGATTTTGTTACCATTGCCATGCATTATAAGACTGATAGACTGCAACGGTTGGATTTATAAATCATCAAATGTGTTCTACTGAAGAAACAAAGTCACCTACATCTTGGATGCCCTGGGGGTAAGCAGATAAACATCAAATTTTCATTTTTGGGTGAACTATCCCTTTAAATTGTTACTGCCTTGAGTAATTATTTTGGAATAAATGTAAAAGTAAAAATTTTTAATGGTCCCTTTTGAGCATTCTGTTGACAATAGGTAACTTTGCAAATACATGTCAACTTAATTTAACCCTACCACTCTACTAATACTCTACTAACAGTCTAGTGAGACTTAGTAGATATGTTGGTGCAACATTACTTATAGTCAACAGAATGTGTTAAAGGGACCATCAAAATAAAGTGAAACCATGTAAACTGCTTAAAAACACTAAACTGATGAGATTTATAATTGGTTTTAATAAACAGAATAGCTTATTAATTACATTGTTAATGTAAAAAATACAAAATAGATTAGTATTCTGGTAGGGTAAATAATGTTTATTTGACCAAGAAAATGTGACTGGGACATGAATTTACATTTAATAAAAAAAAATGTAAAAAAATGTGCGAACTTTGCCTACTCATTTCAGAACACCACTGCACGCCACTGAGATACTACAGATATGTACTATTTATTTATTCCATATTTTATATATCATGATAGTCACAATTAAACGCAAGTGGTGATAGATTCTTTCTTCTGCATTATGACATGCATCGGAGTGAAACAATTAAAAAGCAGGGCGGAGACTTGGTTTTGTCCATCAGACGATGATTGGATTAAGACTAAGTGATTGGATAATCCAACTAATATACAACTTATTACAATAAATTATGATTTAAAAAAAAAAGATGCGAGTCGATAAAAGACACATGCAAATACTAGCCTAATTGTTCACAATAAGAGCAATGATATGTATTTAGGAAATTAGAAGCTAACTGGATGCAGTTAATTTTGCCTGTAGTCCAGTAGATTGGTAATGAGATGACAACTGAAGTGTTGATATTTGACAGTAATACGTTAGCCGTTAGCAAAAAAATAATCATTATTTCACGCTATTGCTTGTACCCAATGTTGCCTAAGCCCACACTATGTTCACGCTTCATAAAAGTCAAGCTTAAAATGGCTTACTTGCCTACTTACTACTCTCTGCACATTAAACGTAAGTATTTAAACATAGGAAAAATGACACTCTTCAGCTTTAAACGCTCAGATTCCACCTCCATTCTTTCCACAACCCTCATCGTTAAGCACAGAATCACTGGCCACCTAACTTTCCCATACGCCACCTCTAGTGAGATACACAGGATGTGAACTCACCAAGAGCTCTCCAGCCTGTTTCCCATACAGTTACTGCTTCACTGGAGTCCAATTACAGTGTGTTTGTGTGTGTGCTGGCCTGTTGGGTATGTCAACAGCCCTGCTGCTCACTAATAGGCAGCCTTGAAGAGATTTGCCTGGCTCATTAAACAGTGTGTTTAGCTGAGTGAGGCATAAGAATGTTTGGAGAGCTGAACTTCAGGACAGGTTCATCACAAACCACTTAGTTTGACACTGAGGTTTTGCATTTGAAATCCATTACTCACAAAAGCAGTATTGTTTCCAGATTTTGCCACACAGAGCGCAAATTTTAATGTGTTATTGTAGGTATTACACACAAACTGTTCATAGTGCAGGAAATCCCCACACACTTGAATGTAGGTGTGATGTAATGTAAGGGTGTAGGTGAGAATTAAGTAATTCCCAAACATGAACTAATGAAATCAGTAATTCTGTCTTTCTGTCTAAATTCATATAAAAAGTATCATCTTTTTCACATTTACAGAACTTTTGCAATAGATGGACTGCCAATTGAAACCTAAATAAATGTGTTGTAAGTAAAGACTGTAAGTAAATAAAATAGTATTTTTACAGTAATAAAATTAGAGGTGACAGTTAAGAATGTCTCTGTTTGAGACAGACAAACACTTGTTAGTCTTTGTGTAGGTATTCACAAATATTAAAATTTTGCTCAATTTAGGCTTCACATATAATGTACTTAATGCACTTACAGTATTAAAATTTAAATTGCTTTGTTTAATAGTTTTAATATTAAAGAAACATGTAAAAGATCTTTAATATCGGTATGTTACTAATATGTATTGTGCATCTTTATCTTTGCGAATAAAGTCGCCACTCCATTGCTGCATCTCATTTCAAAGGCTGCATTGTATTTGTCGATCACATATGTAATTGAGATAATCTCATTTAAGAAAAGTAATCGATAGATTGCAAAGAAAGAAATGACAGTATTTTACACCTCACAATGAGCAACAGTCAGTTGTATTACGGTTAGTTTTCTTAAATAAGACATCCTTGATGATGCATGCAGCCTACAAATGTGACCTCCGGAGGACCCAGCCTCTAAAATGAGACGCAGCTCATATTTCAAAAGTTAGCGTGACCATCCCATGATAAAATGACTCTTTGTCTCTAAACAAGTTTTCCAAATGTAAGCTTGTTTATGAAACTCTTCCCTGATTAACGCACGTTTGCATGCTTGGAAAGTGTTTAGTTTGTGATCTGCAAGGGAAAATATGTCCGATTGTAGGGTGAGAAAAGCAGACCTTTAGTTGACCATCAATGCTCTGTGACTCATGCAGGCCACAGGTCCCTAAGGAGTGCAGACGGCCAGTAGAGGATCCAGAGATGCTAAGCACCGCTTGCTCACGTGAATGCAAGAATGGCCACTGTACACCAACCGGCAAGTGCTGCTGCAGTTCTGGCTGGGATGGCCCCTTCTGCTTAAGAGGTACAGAGCTAATCAGAGCACTTTATCTGTGTCAAAGTTGGTCAAATTTCCAACCTTTTTAACGGCTTCTATGTTTGTCATTCGCAGCCAAATGTGAACCAGCCTGTCGCAACGGCGGGGTCTGCGTGGAGCCCAGCAAGTGTCTCTGCAAGGAAGGTTTCTCTGGTAGCCACTGCGAGAAAGGAGAGCGAGGGACACGAGAGGATGACGAGAAAGACAGCATCCTGGAGCGCATCATTGACATGACGTCTTACCTGCTGGACCTCACCAGTTATATTGTATAAAAAGCAGGGCAGGATGATAACGTGCTCTTCACTGGTTGGCAGACTAAACGTTAAGGAGGTCTTTCAAGAGTTTGCCTTCAGGACACCATCCCCAATCTCCAACTGCCCCTCACCTGATCCTCCTCTCCCACCACTGTTTCATGAGCCACAGGCTTCGATCGCCATGCTCCCCTACACCATCTGCACTCCCACCCCTATGCACAAATACACACGGAAAACAATAACAGGGTGGCCAATGGAACCTCAAGGCGCATAGCTGAAGGGGTCGCATGTTGGAGGTCCCACGCAGGACTTCCCGGTTTTTACTGCTGGTATGGTGTGTAAAGTCTGGTCTGCTTTAAAGTCAAGTGTCCCTGCAGGTGGACTCACAAAGCACTGCAAGCCCCACATGAGACCAACTCGGATGTTCAGTCCAATCCCAACATGAGCACCAGTTTGTATTACAGGACTAATTGGGATTTTAGGGAGTTAAGAATAGCAACACTCATTTAGGAAAGTCAGATGGACAGTCTACCAAACTGAACTGCACCATTAAGAAAATCACTTCCGTGGATTCACAAGTTGATTGAAGAACGGAGGGGAATTAGCTGTCAATACAGCCGCAAAACCATACAACAGACTTATCCAGCGGGTCTGTGTATAACTGGAGAATCATTGTGATGGGACTAGATGCCAGTTTACATGCAGTTTAGAAACGGATCTGCTCAAATGTCATCCATATAATTGCTGAAATGCTCAATGAGGATCCAGCAAAGAGTCAAAACTGAATATTGGTTGTATCCCATTGACGTTTCATTTAGATGAAAACGTCAAGTGAAATGTAAATCTGTAAGAATGTTTGGAGAGTCACTTTGATTACCTTAATTTAATACAGTAGTTGGAGATGACTGGTTAAGAGGTAACTGCACTGGTTAAAGTTGCAGTATCAGCTATATTATTTTCCAATAGTTGTTCATTACCATGCACGCTGCTTTCATTGCAAATTGTATATCTTATCATATTTTAAAATGTTCATTTATCTTCTTTCTGTGTTATATCGAGCATAGAAGCTTGTTTTTTCTTCATATGGAAAACCCTCGTAAGGTGATTTTAGCAAATATTACAATCTTTTCACAGATTCTTTGACACACAATGGGACGCTTCATTTTTAATGTTCTCCATATTTTTTTTTTAGAAACACCAAACCATATTCAGTTTTGTCATATACAAAAGGGAACAAGACTGGTGACTGGTGTACATTTCATATAGTACAGATACGTACTACTTAGATTTGCCATTGTTTTAATAGAGGAGGGTTTATATTTTTAAGGAATAATATATGGGAGAAGAGCAGTTTTGCATTAAGCCTGTAAATTCATTTTATGTATTTTACTAGATACTTACACAGTTCTGTTGATGATAAAACATCTATAACAGTCTAATTTAAAGCTACAACGTTGTTCTCTTACTTTAAGAGTGCTTTGACAGAGAAAAAAAATTAAACATAGATCTTTCCTTCTGAATATTTGATGTTTCTGTAAAACAAGGCTCAAGCTATAATTTTAGAGCCAGTTTTATTTTCCCCCGACCTGCTCTGCTCGTGAATGACTAGAAGAGGATGTTAAATGTAGTCTATAATGTCATCAAGACCCCATAGTATCCTTTCAAAAGCTGATGCTTTATAGAGCGAATTGTTGTTGGTTGTGCGCTATCCAGTAGACGAATTAGCAAAATGCACTCTTAACTCAAGTAGAAATTTTCCCACAATTCTTCATTTTTTTTCTCTGAATAAAATGGAACCACATTCTGTTCAACTTTAGAATTTAGAAATTTGTAATCGGTGAGGTCATAAACACTACCCAGCTTTGAGGCATTGAGCCTGTTTTTGATGTCATTGAAAGGTTACAGTCCCCTCCGAGATTGACAGGTGTATTATATATAATCACTTATTCCTCCCAAAGACAAGTGCATCAACAACAACAACCCCCACATGTTTATGATTTTCTATTCAGTGCATTTTAACATTCTTTGTTACATGTAAGGAATCCATGCTGTAAATCTACTCTATAATTTTAGCACTTAATGTGAAACCTGCATTGGAGCTGCTGGGAAGGTGTCATGTGAATAGAGTAACCCTGATTCTTTTATTATTTAAGTAGTTACGCCTTAAAAGTTATTTAAGTTGTCTACAATGTTTTTACTGTTGTATGTGAAGAAATATGGTCATTTATTGTAAATAACTAGGTTTATCTTGGGTTCTTCTCAGAAATATCAATATGTTTATTAAAGTGTATAGCATGTTTGAGAACTTAATGAATGACTCCTTTACATTATTTTTCTCTAAAATTTGATCTGATGTGTGATGTAACTCACCTTGGGTGTTTTTCATAAATGTTTTACTACATGAATCTATATTATACCAGCTTATAGTGTCTATATTGTTTCTCAAACATGCATATGTTTAGTTTTTCCGGTTAAACTAAGGAAAAAGGAGAATATTTTGCAGTAAAAACAAGGTATTAGATTTTACATAAAATTTGTTTAGTGCTAGGATTTTTTTCCATTTCCATTTTCTTCTTCCATTATGGTACAGTGGACAGAAAGGTGCACTGAGAGGTTGCCAAAGAGGTCAATATGACCCTTAAGGTACTTGCATACTGAGTCCGAAATTTTTTAATTTGTCTCAAATTTTGAGACGCGACGTGAGGTCGTATTTATTTTTTACATGTCAAAATTTCGTACTCAGTGTGCAATTACCTTAAGTTCATCATTTTCCAGTGTTCATCCAGTGTGGAATGTCAATCACTTATAAGTCACTTCTGTCACACTATAAGTCGCACTTATGAAAGTAATGTATTTAAATAAGGGTGTCTGTTATATGGAATGCCGGCAACAACAGCAAAAAAACGTTCACTCTGAAAATGCCCGTTTGGTGCCATCCTCTGCAAATCTTTACTGGAAACTTAACAAACAGAGCAGTGTAGGTTGATAGCGTTATTAAATTCCATCTCCAAACATCAATCAGGTTGAGTGGTCGTTATAATAATGAATGAGGACCACCCACATCACCATAGTCACCCCAATGTATTTAGAGTAACGCAATACTAAGTTGTCTGTGCGTTGTTCGGAGCCAATCAAAATTATGTTGGGGGAACAGGGCCGATAGCGGTGTATTTGAGTTTATATACTATCTGTGGCATGAATCATTACTTTTCATTTGGAATGGTTTTCTTTCTCTTCCCCAAAGGGCCTTTGCCTGGCTATATTTCATAAACAGTGTAACCCGGCACTCAGCATAAACACGACGAGTCAGTATACTAAATATTTGCGAAACTCTGATGGTTGGAAAACCTGCTTATAATATCATATACACAGAATAAAGACTTATCGGGCAGATAATGGGTTTAGATAAGAGAATGACAAGAGATAGAGACGTACTTTATCTATACTGGATATATGTATATCAGTGAACTTCCACGAACACCGTACTTAATCTATTAAACAGAACACACACATCTACTTTTATCACACCCACACTTTAGCAGAGTATTCTATTACCTCATATATTTATGTGACTGAGTCAGTGAGGACTACTGCTGAAGTGTGTGTGGTCATGACTGAGGAAGTCTGAGTCCCTCAGAGCCTCACTGATGAAGCTATGCATCATAACGCACCCTCAAAATGAGAGCAAACATGCATCGGTAGTCTTCTTTAAATCACCTCCTTAAAGTTCAACCAAAATGAAAATGATGTTATCAATTAGTCATGTCATTCTAAATTTATATGATTTGCTTTCTTTTGTGGAATACAAAAGTAGGTATTAAATTAATGTTTTTGCTGTATTTGTTATGCACAATGGGGTCCACCACCAAAGAGCACATTAAGTAATTTATAAAACATTAGTAGTGTAACTAAAGTAGTATGATCACTTACTATGATGAACAGAGCAAAATTTAAGCTGTAATTTTCTTTCCAATCACATCAAACCCAAATCAAATATGGCAATAAGAGACCTTAGTCAGGGTAGTGTCATTTAATTTGACAGAAATGAAAATGAGGCTATGAGGGATAGAAATGGTTGAAATTGCAAACCTATTCTCTTAATGAGTAATGGGTGTTTTTTGGGCGTAACGTGCAATAAACCAATCAGAGTCACATGTCCCATCCCCTTTAAAACCCAGTTGCGCATGGAGGGTTCGCTATTTACATGACGGAATGGAATTTTTTATTTCATTTTTGTGTGTAAAAAGCAAAGTGTACGCGCGTTGTGCACCCGCCTATAGGCACATATTACTAACGCACTCTTTAAATAACAAAGAAAAAGTATTGTGCCAGACTTTAGACCAGGTTTGAGTTGGTCTATGGCGCAGTCTATTTTCAGTTCCTCAAAATAGCAAGGCGCCAGCAATGCGCCTGAACACACCTCTTTTTAGACCAGCATGCCCATGGGCGCACAAATGGGCGCAAATGCATTTGCTATTTAAACAACGCAGCGCAGGATGGGAAAATGAGAACTGCGTAAGGCTGAAACGAACAAAAACACTTGCACCGCATTGCGCCGGATGTATGATAGGGCCCTAGGTAGTTATACCCTACAAGTCAACAGGTCCATGCTATCGTCCAGGCTTTACCTCTAGTAGAACTAATCTATCTTTGTCAAGCACTCTAGCATATGGCAGATTAGTTTAAAAGAGAAACTCTCTCCAAGGCCTTGGATCTTCAGTCCTGACTCGCATCCATGAAATGATGCAATTATGGTTCCTACTGGGGCCCAATCTGTCATGTAAACACACACCCAGCCCCATCCGAGGGCAAGGACTGGAGATTGGCAGGAGGAGACAGGTAGATGTCAGGATGAGAGAATGATAGAAGGGGGATGGGTGTGGAGGACTTCGGTTCGCATGCCAATTTGGTGTTTACATGTGGTATTTTAGATGCAGGAAGTGAATGCAAACATGGGCAAATGTGTGTGGCACTGCACTCATGTGGTTGTGCAATGAGACACTGTCTTTTTTGTCCATCTTCCTGTACCGCTATCCTTAGCGGGGCTTAGTAAACAATTGGTATCAACAGAATGGGACCACCTAGGTAAAAGTTTCCATGTTGAGGCATTTTTTCAAACTGTGGCCGCAAATTTTCCCAAACACATTAAAACAAGCTATGCAAATGTTTTATGATGGTACTTGCATAGTGTATTGTTATATTAACCTGAGCAAATGGTCACTCATCTTGGCAAACTCGCTGTGTTTCTGCGCTTCAGATCTGTGAGGCCCCTTGAGCTTACCTAACTAAAAAGTCAACAGACTACATCAAAAGCCACAGTCCAGCTTTCTGCAGTATGATCAAAGGAGATGAGTGGGCTTTAGCTTAAAGATATGCACTAAAGAGCTTGCAAGGTCATCTGTAAAAGTGGATAAAGGAAATGCTCCTCACGTTTACATATTCTGCCACCAGTGAAGTGATAAAACGTTCATGTAAGACCAGTAAAAATGGCACTGAACATATTGTAAATAAACTCAGCGACCGTATTTCGAATACTGTACATTTCCAATACTTCTATCAAGTGTACTTTAACTTAAAGGCATAATTCACCCAAAACTGACGATTCTACCATAATTTACTCACCCACTTTTTTCGTCTGTGGAAAACAAAAGATAATTATTTGAAGAATGTTTTAACTGCCCATACAATGGAAGTCAATGGGGTCCAAAACAACAGTCTACCCCACTGACTTTCACCATATGTGTTGTGCAGAAGAAAGAAATACATACATGTTTGGGTTAACTATCCCTAAGTGCATTCTTATCATGCATTTTATTATATTTTATAATGTAATGTATTCCTGTGATGTCAAAGCTGAATTTTCAGCAGCCATTACTCCAGTCCTCAGTGTTGCATGATCCTTCAGAAATCATTTTAATATGCTAGTTCACTGAAGAAACATTTCTTTTTATTAACAATGTTGAAAAGTTTTGTGCTGCTTCATATTTTTGTGGAAACTGTGATGCGGCTGAATTGAAAATTCCAAAGAACAGCATTTATTTGAGAATTATAAATTATATGTTAATAACAGTAATAATTGCTTTCAAACAATAAATATTAACACAAACTTTGAATCATATAGTGTATATAAAGGATTCATTGGATCTAAACCAACACAATCAAGATTGTACCGAACTAACAACCC